TCCGTACACATGGGCAGGATAATAACAGCTTTTATGTATTTGTTGTTGGTTTTTGTTTTAATGAGAGGTGCTATTTTATGCTGATGATAAGGACAGTAATATTTTAATGATGCTGAGGAGACTGTTTCGCCGCTGATGATAACTTCAAATTACAAAACCTTACTGGTTTAAGCTTTTATTACAAAATTATAAATTATTATCATCATAATCGGTAGGCACACAGGGCAGACAGACGGATGATGATGCATAGCTTATAAAACACCACAGCGACCATGGACAACATAAACCATTATTCATTTCACAATTCGCACAGACACACACATCGAGAGGCACTCATATACACGTACATATGCCAATATCTGCCCGCCCAATCGGCATCTCCTGTTTTAAGAGGTCTATATTTAAACAAATCACTTTGAATGAATCTTTCCCGTTGTTTTATCGCTTTTTGAGAGGGTGAGATAGGTAAGTGCTCTAGTCTGTGGTCGTTATGCCAGTACTGGGGTATGGACAGATGAACCTATCCTCCCTTTTCAAAATGTATGTTTAAATTGATTTTATTTGCCATACGGCCAGCCGCATAATAAACTGCTATGTATAGACATGTCTATGGACGACTGTGTTTCGGAAATGTATAGTAATGTTTTCGTATTCGTTTATTTCTGCTTCGTTGTGTAGCGCCATAATCGATAAATTGGTAACATGTGCATTAAATGCTTGAATTCTTTTTCATTCAGACATTTTCAATCAATTTTTTAATTTTGGCATAAAATGTTTAATGAACTCTTGTACAGAGTTCAGGCAAAATGTTCTAAAAATGTACACTCGAATTAAATAAAAGTGTGATTTGTGATGAAATGGTATGGTGAGTTTTGGAATATTTTTGAAAGAGGAAATGTGCCGATTTATAATAATCACGAACTTTTTGCAATGACTAAGAACCAGATATTAGATGTAATACTGTGATTCTTATGAGTACAAAATTAAGAGAAGGCAATGATTTTGTTTCGATTTTCGAATTCAATTTAAGATTCGGTAAGTTCACCTTAAGTACTATATTTAAGCCAATATTGTCAAACATCACATTAGTCTTAGCAACTAAAGCACTTATCTTGCAAATTAGATAATTGTGATTTAAAGAAATATTATCTTACACATTTGAATTGTTCTACAGCTTCCCAATAAATTAATACGGCTAATAACAGTAGGGAATATAGCAGATAAACATTTTGATTGGCATAAAGCGTAGCATTAAATATTTATTATAATATACGTCGTCGGTGTGCCTGTGCTTGCCCATCGAGTAGTTACGACGAATCATTTCGAGTAAACCATCTTCATTTATTTATTTATTCAGGCAGTGTAGCTCCTTTGAGGGTATGTTCATGTATTCTGAGAAAGCCATTAAATGATTATATAATCATTAATCTAAGTACGTGATATCTAATTATAGAAAGTAGTCATACTTGGAGATGGGAGTGAAACGATGACAGAGGCAATGTCACATAATTATAGCAAGCAGAAAATGATGGGATGGGTCAGATAGGTATTGCAATCATGAGATAAGCATTACATAAATAAATGACATACATATAATATACATTCCAATAACTGAGTTAGGAAATCGAAATTGTATATTCTTAGAGATAAGGTATTTCAACGAATACATGTTTTAATTGAAAATTATTTATTAATTCCAAAAAAAAATATTATTTTTATTTATTTCTAAATTACTGTGTTTTAATGTCTGTGTTTATGGAGGGAGGTATTAAAAGGATTGAATCGAAAAATTCCATATCTGGATTTAAAAATTTATAAGCTTAAAATAACAAACTTCGACATATTGTGGAGGAACCAGACGTGATGGATGGAGATTCGGCAAAAATAATACGATGTACAAATTTGGGTTAAATCGGACACTGATATTATATTAATTAATCTATCGATCAAACAATTTCAGATTAATGCTCATTGGAAAGGTGTCACTTCGCAGTAAAAAAATTATTTTGCTGTTTTTTGTTTGGTGCATTCAGTTGTGAGTTACAGGGTGTTAAAAATGGAAGTGAACAAAGAGAAAATTCGGCACATTTTACAGTTTTTCTTTGACAAAAGCGAAAATGTAAGCCAAACGGCTAAAACTGTGAATGGTGTTTATGGTTCCTATACGGCAACAACCCATTATTTTAGTTTCGTAGATTCCGTTCAGGAATTTTTGATGTTAAAGATGCACCTTGCACAGGTAGGTCGGTCGTCGAAAATGTCGATAAAATCGGAGAAATTATCAAAATGTTACTACTGCCAATATGCCGGTCAAATGTGGGCAGTCGTAATATCGCCCAGGAGCTAAAAATCGACCGTAAAACTGTTTGAAGACATCTACAATTGATCAGAATTGGCCAACAGGAGAGGTGTTCTACCAGGACAACGCTAGGCAACACACATCTGCAGTGACACGCCAGAACTTTGGGAGATTGGACTGGAAGTTTTAATGGGTCCGCCATACAGTCCGGACTAGGCACCAAGCGTTTATAATCATTTTCTTGCATTGCAAAATTTCTTTAATGATAAAAAAATTGGTCTCTAGGGAGGATTGTGAAAATCGACTACTAGAGTTTTTTTTTTCAAATAGAGAGCAGGACTTCTATGAGAGAGGCATTATAAAGTTACATTTAATATGGCAACAAATCATACAACAAACCGGTGCATATAACTTCATAACCTTGTAACTACTAATTCTAGGGAAACTGAACAACTTATTACTATTCTGTATCGAGACTACAATGTGTGTGAACTTTGAAGATCTCTACAACTAATTTCGAATGCAATTTGTGAAATTCAATAATCGTCTGAATACTAACAATACTGAGGACTGACACATTTATATATACATTCCATCAAATCGCATTATTGTACAAACGATATTGGTGCTCATATCAATTCTGTTCAAATTAGCAATAAATCATTGGACATTACAAATAACATCCAATTATAAATGGGCAATTATAGACATGTAGACAAATAAATAATCTTTCATAGACACACTGCAAACGTCACTCACACACATATACACACAACACGTGTATGTGTGTTTGTATGTGTGTAATTGTTAAAACCATCGAGAAATGGTTGGAATTTTTAATTAAAAACGAAGTGAAAATGTTATTACCGGCATTTGAAAATGCATTACAACAAATAGAATGGACAAGTGACCGCAACAAACGACAGACACATCATCAGTCGTCAAACATTACAGACAACAGACTGATGCAACAAACGAGAGTTGGCTGTTACTTTTTATTTTTTGTTATTCAGCTAGCCAGGTAACTGAGTACAGTTCACATTGACAAACTCGTGCCACAGTCACAGCCAATACCAATCAAATGAGTCATCATCTCTCGAGTGACAGTAAGCCAAGTGACATTAAATCGAAATACAAATGACCATGAAAATAATACATACAATACAGATTCGAATTATGAAAGCATTAGACATTGGCTGGTGTTGGATGATATTATAGAGCAATTATACAATTAAGTGCGATTGCTAAATAAAAATTGAAATAATAAATGATTCTCATAAATCGGATTTAAATTTCTCCAACAATATATAAAATTGGGCATTTTCTCGTATTCTATTCCAAAATGCATCATTCGAGGCTTAACTGTATATACAAACATTGTTTTAAAAATACTCAAACATTGGTAATGACACAAGTAAATATTATTTCAGCGGCGATGACATTAAAAAGGGATTTTTTATGAATAGTCAACCATAAATTTAATTGTTAGCACATGCAAAGTACTCCCGCCCCCTCCCTCCCAGTCGTATGCACAAATACAAGCAATACCAAGCCCAAAACGTAAAATTGAATGCAAAATGTATTGGTTATGATGAAGAATAACCTTGAATCATCAGCTCGATGATATTTAGTTAACTGACAGGCAATATTGTTTTTTTTTTATTTTGATTTTGTGATTTCACGATACAATTTGTTTTCCTTTTCTCGTATTCTACACAAATACAATCGAGTAATGTTTTGTTGTGTTTTTTTTTTCACTTCCAAATAATAGAAATTAATCTGCGCAGTACTGGCGATGATGGGCGGTTTAAGTTTAAATATGCGATTTTCGTTTAAAATACAAATTTGAGCAGTTTTGAATCGATGCTTTAATGCATTTTATGATACTGGAGGTGGACATGAGTGGAACATTGTCGTTTGATTCAACACACCAATCGTTTGTCAGTCGTCTGAATTTGTGTGAGACAAATGAAAGAAGAGGAGATGAGGGAATATTTGTTTTTTTTTTTTTTTTTTTTTGGACCCGCCAACAAAACGTTGCTGAAATTTTAACTGACACGACATCCATTATTTTCAATTGAATTTAATTCGTTTTGAGGAATACTAATGACACAATGCCATCCCGTCAACATCATCGCCATCATCTTGTACCGCTTCGATGTTGTTTTATGTGGCACATGGTGGCATGATTGTGTTGTATTATGTTGTGAATTAGCTTGAACGTCATCTCAAATAAAATTAAGAATAATAGGTATGTTTTATACCACAAAATATAATTGTTTCCTATGAAAAAAATTAAAATCTAAGAAATTGTAATGATAAATCTTCGTTTTATCGAGTGTATAAATTTCGAATTTGAAGAATATGAACATCATGGTCCTATCTTCGCCATACAATTCAAAATATGTCAGTTGCAATTCTGAAGCATTAATTTCAAATCGTTAAACTAGAAATTACATTTTAATAAGTTGGATTTACAATTCCAACAATTCACGAATTATAAACGCATTGTGATGAATTATGTTTGTAATATTGGATTTATAATTACAATTTTTTCTTCATTAATATATTTTTGGGAACTTTGTATTTTTATTCTACAGAACAGAGTCTTCTTCTTCTGCTTGTAGACAGGGATTTGAATTTATGTTACGCTTTTTTATATACTTATTTGACAACAGTATAGCATTTTATCTCTACTTACCAATTAATTGATCTTTGTTCTCGGCAACATTTCCCGGCTGATTACAATGCAAAATATCCGAAAGTGACAACGACGAAGCGATCAGCTGACGCTTCTCTTCGAAATTTAAATAATCCATGGAATTGCTGCGTTGTGGAGTTACCGTTATTGTCACAGACTTTTGCATCTTTGCCACCACACACAACTGCTGTTGTTGTTGATGCTGATCATCTTCTGGGATCTTCCGATTCATGTGGCACGGTCGAGTTCGAGGATAAGACCAACGAATTATTATTCGGATTGACGTCCGTAACATTGACGTTGTTCGATGACGGCTGAAAATGATTGATGTATTGGAATGGTGAATTCTGCGCTATGGCTGCTGAATATGATGGTGGGGGATTTAGGGGAGATGTTGCTTTGACAGCGCCACCACCACCACCTCCGCCATACGGATGATGGTCATTGGCATTGATAGCAGCCACCAAAGAGGCTAAGTTGTTGCGGCTATTATTGATGAGGTGTGACGCTTGGGAGGTGGGTGGTGATTGGGAAAGTTGTTGATGTTGTTGCTGGAATTTATGCTGTTGCTGCAACTGGGCCAGCAACTGTTGTTGCTGCTGTTGGTATTGCGGTGGTGGCAAGAATTGCTGCTGTTGCTGCTGCTCATGGCCGCCTTGTTGAGCAAAATTGGTTGCCGCATTTAATTTATTGCTGCGCATAGACATAGTGCAGCAGGGGAGGTTATCTTTGGGTGGGAGTGAGAATGACGTTATGTCTCACTCCCTCACACTCGCAGACACGAGACACACGCACACAAATAAAAATTAACGAGTAATTTGGGGTGTAAATTATTTAATTAGCGTTGTAGTCAGTCGTCGTTGTCTACGATTGTCTGGATTGTTTTTCAGCGACAGTCTGCGTGTTTGTTTTCAATTAAAGCGACCGGGCCGCAATCGACATTCACTAACACGTCTACAGTTGATCAGATACACACACATACAGAACACGCAAACAATTTCAATTAATTCTCGCGGAATTTGTTACGAATTACGCACACTTGTCGCTGATAAGAAATATCAACAACACCGCCAACACCAGGCGTACGTCCGCTGGAAGTCAGGTGGCTTTGAAGTGGTTATCTGCTTGCTACTGCTCTCATCTGTGGCCCTTGATTATTTGACGGCATTTCACTATCTGAGTTTGACCAGCTGATGTTTCACAAATCGACCGACCGAACGACTCACCGGTAGTTGAATAGGTAGGTGAATTTAGTTTGACTGTTCACTGCCACCGACACCGACGTGTATCAGCAGCAATGTGATACACTTTATGTCAATATTTGAAAAGGGTATTAAATGGAATTTTCTGCACTTGGCTTAATGGAATTTCTTTGGCGACACACAAAGTGTAAGGTGATTGGACGGACGTTGACTTTGTTTACTTTACATTGAAGATGATGATGACTGATAGATACTCGCACATTGACATTCTACGCGGTTTATTTTACATAAATATTACACGAATATATAGATATTTACGATCGTTATTTGTGCAACACTAAATGGCTAGATATGGCAGCTAGAACTGTGAAAGGTGGGGAGGGAGAAAGAATATACAAATCAAGTGTAAGTATTTCATAGAAAAGTTATACAAAAGTAGTGTGGACACCTTTCGAAATTCAAGCAAACACGCAAAGATTAGTTAATAAAAATAATATTGAAATAACGTTTACAACTGTAATCGCGATTTAAACACAATGCAATTTAAACACAATGCATTATTTGTTCGTAGATTACTCCTCTATTTCCGAATAACGGGGGAAAGATCACTCCAAAAGAAAATTAAATAAAAATAATAAAAAATGTTCTTTCAAATATAAAACAAACAAAAAATACTTTTCTATGCCGCCATTCTCATTTTAAACTAGTTGGAGAATATCAGCCGGCTTTGCGCGCAGATACATACTTTTAGCTTATGATGTATGCAGTATATATTTACTCCATTCATGCACAAAATCGTACGATAGCGGTGATGGCTAAACACGTATTATATTTTTTCTCATTTCGTCAGTCATTTTTGATGATGTTGTCACAGTAACGCTCTCACACACATATTCTCAATTTAGTTCTGTTCCACTCTGATTTACTCTGACACGTGTATCTCATATGGAATGTTTTACATAGTCTACAGACTCGGAGTCCATGTGCCAAGATAGAGCAAAAAATGTTAAAATTACGCATATAAAATATGTTGATGTACAATGTTTGAATTTAAATATGGTACCCTATTTGCAAGGTATTGCCTATTTTCTCTTAACACTTGCACATTTTTGATCGAATCATAATGTATATGCCTGCCTTTGCTATTTTAGCCTCGAAGAATTTGTAATTTTCCTCATCTTAGCGCATTGTCATTGAATATGGTCCTTCTTTAGAGGGAAGAAATATTTTGTAAAACATAAGGAATAAAAACCAAAAATGGTTTATTGCAGACGTTCTTTGCTTTAGCCTTCTCCACTGTCCAAGTAACCAGGAAGATGGAATGAAAAAGCTGTTCATTTCCTCCTTAAGCTGGTCGGAATAAATGCAGCTTTGCATATCTTGCAAGTTGTATTCCTGTTGCGATTGTTGCTGTTGTTATTAGGTTGCTGTCACATGTTGTTCATGAAAACCCAAACCGAACAAAACAACAAAACACGGAAGACAATAATAACAACAATTATAAGAGAACATACAGAACAAGACAATGTACAAGTACCCACTACAATGAGTGGGCAAAGACGAAAGAAAGCACTCAATTGTTCATTACGACTTCCCTTCAATTTATGCATCGTCTTTTGATTCTCATTCACAATGAATTGAAGGGTACCGGCTGTATAGTAATGTCTTTATCTTCCCCCTTCTCTGAACCACACAGTTCCCATATTTCCGATTGCTACCCTTTATTTGTGGGGGCCTTTCAAGTGGTTGTGTTGTGTTCTGTTCGGATATGATGTTTAGCATTTCTCAGCAACTGCAAGGAGAAGTGGGAACGGATTTTAGGATATTAAACAAATGTCTGACATTCTCCAATAAAGACCACAACTTTAAGGAGTTGTTTTTTTTTTAAATTCCTTGGAATGCCTCTCTCGTGGTCCTTAGTAATGAATGCATGTCATGTATATTTGTTAGGGTTGTCGATTTTGAAATTAGAGTTTGTTATTTAAACTAATTTGTATACAATGTGGAGTAATTGCACGAAATAATACTTATTTTAAATTTAAACAATTGTAAAGGTATTAATGTCTGTGAAAATAAGAAAGGGATTACTGATATTTCTATTTTTTTGCCACTTCCACCACCACCTCCGCTATACGAATTTTGGTCAACGGTATTGATGGTTGCCACTAAAGAAGCTATGTTGTTACGGCTATTATTGAGGAGATGTGAGGCTTGGGAGGTGGTTGATGATTGGGAAAGTTGTTGATGCTGTTGCTGCAACAATTTCTATTTATTATTTATGTTATATAATCGTTTCATCAAGATGAAATCTAAAGAAAGTTGACACAAATGTTAGTCTTTTATATTTACACAAACCAAACACGAACCAGTCAGGGTAAACATTTTCCTAAATTTATGGTCAATACTTTAAGTTGTACCTTTGTAGAGTTCTGCAAGCCGTATCAAATCCAAACATTCAAATCTAAAATATCAGCATCCGGATCGGCATTCCTAATTGAAAACGTTCTCCTCTCTTCTTCTCCTGCCACTCCCACATACTCTCTTAATTTCAATTTAAATAAAATGCCTGCATATGCTTTGTTGTTTTTTGCTTTGCTTTTATTCATTTATCGTCAATTCTATTCTCCTATTCAGTTCTGTTCTATTCAAGTACAATTTAAATTGCTGCTCTCAGGCATTGTAGTCGTTTGTTGTTGGTTTTTTATTTTTATTTCGTATGTCATTTTGAGTCTTCGGCAATGTTAACTTTGTCTTTGTCTTGGATGCTGTCACTTTGTGCAAAGGCATACTTGAGTCTATCTGTCGTTATGTCTGCCTGTCTCTCATGCCAGCAGTCAGTGGTGTGAGCGCTGCTCAATTGCCTCGATTTTCTTTGCCATAGACAGCCATTTGTTGTGCTAGGCTTTACTTATGTCGTTCTTCTTCGATCCATTTACGGGATTTTGGTTTTGCAATAAAAACCGAATAAGTGGTGGTGTAGGCGATCGACCGACAGACAGACAGCCCCAGTATGGTGATGGGGAAGATCGGGGGCAGGGGGTGGGAATCAAGTGTTGTGCAGCATATGAAACATTTAAGTTAATGATACTTCATATTAAATGTGTGTTAAATGTAATGTCAAAATAAAACAGAAAAGAAAAATACCAAGAGTGTGGGAGAGAGGAGTGATAATAATTCTCAATGACACTCAAGTCTTGTGGTTGTCTGGCACCTCATTTCTATGATTCGGTTTTGTTATCACAATCATCATCGCCGTATGGGGGGGAAAACGGGAAGCACTTAATTAATTTCAATTTAAGATGAATGTGGGGATTTGACGAAGAGAATAATTTCATATGAACTTCTTGGAAAAATGTTTGTAGTTTTTATAAGAAATATGGAAAATTGTAATACAAATTTTCAGTGAATAGGGTGATGGGTCAAGCACAGCTGACTATTGAAAATGTTAATTCATTGTTTACAAAATATTGTGAATTCAATTTTCCAAACCAAATTGTAAGATTTGTGACATAGGTACACTTTTGGTTATCTCATGCATGTAACGATGGTACTCATACATTACACAATATGTGGATAAGTCTAATTGATACCAAATCCAATTCAATGCTCATATTAAAAATAAGCGATCCTTCGAGTTCTCATTGGATTTATGTTTAGAAAACACATTGCAAAAATAAGTCATTGCTTATTGACTTGGTTGGAATTTGTCTTTTTTCGTTTCGATAGGCAAATACGTATCAAATTTACATAGCATTCCGCCTGAAGTATTTCAAATGTAAATAATCTGGATATGTCTTCAATTTAATAAAAAAAACTCAATGAATTATCCTTTGTATAACACAATCAAATGGTTTACGAAATATTCATTTTTGATGTAATTGTTCATAGTACCGTGTACTTATTCGGTTTATAAGCTTTTTTAGGCTTAAATCACCATAACTATTTATACGACAGTTGTGGGTCTCCCTGGTGGCAATGAATATAAATAATAGATGAA